TTAGTAAACCTCTATCACTATTGTTCAAATTATAGCCCTGGGGTCAAAATGGCTCTGCCAAGGAGTCTTTTTAGGTTTTAATTATATGGTATGTATAAAGTAAAAAACTTTAAAGAAATCTTGTCTGAAGGTACAAGGTTTACTCAGGCGCCATGGTGTCTTAGGATTTCCTTAAATGTATATACATGTATAGAAAAAAAAACTTAAACAGTATTCTCCTCTGAATTGACAAAGACTAGAGTAAGATATTTGGCATGAAACATTGTGTAGTCGACCTCTACCAAGATTGTTTTTTTAATTTTAGCCCTGGGATAAAATTTGCCTTGTGGGAGGGTTGGGGGGGGGGGGGGGGGGGGGGAGTCATTAATTTTCGTAATGTACTTGTAGTAAAAATTTAAGAATGTACAAGGCTAGAGCTTAGGGCTTTGATGCCTAAATTTTGTGTCAAGTTACAAAACTTTTATTTTGGGAAACAATAAATTGGGACTATGGAGGCATTTTTTCCCGTGAATTTCGTTTTCATTTTTTAAAAAAAAATGTTACTTAACTTTTTAAGCTTTTGAATGATTTAATAAACCAAAAATTTTTTTAAAAACTTAAAAAACCCGCAATGTTGGCGTTTTTTTAAAGTAATAGAAAAAGCACCCGGGAAGACTCTAAATTTTATTTCAGCCCTTGTAACTGAGATAAAAAACCGGGCCTTTTCAAAACCCCGATTTCTTAAAATTGCCCCCAGTTTTTGCAAATCCCTTTTTAAATCTTTCCTGGAAAAAAACAGCAAAGCTAGTTTTGTAGGAACAAACCTTAAATTTTGCCTATTTAAAAACTTGAGGAAATAAGCCTAGATTTGTGTTCGGGAAAAGATGTAACCAAAAAGAAAGCTTTTATTTATTTAGTAGATTTAAAAACCCAGGCTTGATTTAACAATTTATACCTCAAATGCTTGCAGTGCTTTGATTTGAGAAAGTTTTAAAGCTACAAAATTTTTAAATTGGGAAAAACCCCTTGTTTTAGCAAAACTAGTATTGTTTTTTCTTTTTTGGCATGCGGCAAATTTAGGTCTTTTTTCTGGCAATTAAAAAAACACCCCCCCCCAAAATTTCCCCAAACAAAAAAGAGCCTCCCAGACAAAAAGTTTTCAATGTTAAAAATTTTAAATTGGGAAAAAATTAAAAAGAAAAATCAACCAAAAAACACAACGATATAAATGACCCCCAAAAACAAAAGGGGGAATCCAAAATTTTTCCCCTGGCAGGCCCCAACAAGTTTTTTACAAATTTAAGCCTAGTTTCCCCTTCCCAATTTTGATCAACAACCCCTTATTTTCAAATTTTGACCTTTGATTTTTTTATCCCCTAAAAGGGGGAGGGGAATGTTTGTTCCTTCTCATACTGACAAATGTGACTGTTACCTTGACCTTTGACCTACTTAACTGAAAATTAACAGGGGTGTTTCTACTGGCCATGGACATTGTCTATTATGTTTGATAAACCTAGGCAATTTCCTTCACAAGTTATCAATCAGACATGGATTATACATAAAGCAACCCTAGCTGTGACTTTGACGGTTTGACCTTAAAATAAATTAAAGACAATCTACAGACCTAGGATTATATTTCACATTCAATGTCACTATGACCTAATGACCGCAAAATCAAAAAGGACCATAAACAGACAAAGACGACTACCCTACCTTCTAAGACAGCACACCCAATAGTTATCAAGCTATTGAGCAGACAACAAAGTGGCTAATGATTCGACAGAAAAAAAACTGTACCAGTTACTTTTTGGGCATATAAAAAGGAATCACAAAAGCTAATAATTGACTGGTCTTAATATTTTTTTACTGAATGCAACACTTCTTGCTCAAAACTAATGCTACATGAGCCTGTAAACACCGAGACAACCAGTAAAGGCTGGGCATGGAATCTGTATCTTATGTGCTCTCGGTACTGTCAGTTTGTCTTCCTCCACATCCAAGGATGGCAATATCAAATGTTCCATGTTTGATGCTCCGCACTCACGTTACACACTTGCAATGCTTCATGGTAAACAATCAACAATCATACAGCATGTTTGGCTTTCATGCAACATGGTCAAATGATACCAACGTGCTGTTTAATAATAAACTGTATGTTCTGGAAATAGTTTTATCAAGGAAGTTTAGGAAGTGTGCCAAATATTGTAATAACCTATAGTATGGTAAAGAAAAAAGCTCTCTCTTTACCCGAAAATAATCATCAGCCAAGAAAAAATTCACCTTACATCTTGGTCGATTTCCTCAATCATTTTATCATCTTAGTTATGACACAGTTGTAAGATATAGTGTTTATTTTTAAGGAAAGTATTTCAGGCTTTTTTTTTCATCAACACCTTACTCAGATATCTATTTCCCTCTATTACGTACTAGTAGCATTCCATTCTCTGCACGTAAGACTTTTTTACGTGCCAATTTTGCAAAATAAATCATAACAAATGAGGGGAATTATTTGCATGACATTCGGGCTTGTTGTAAACCAACTGTAGAACCTCCTCTAAAGTGCCCTTGATAATTATGTCCTACATCATTAATTGAATAAGAAGCATTTAAGCAAGAAAAAGAGATGTATGCTTTTGTACGTGACATTTCAATTAAACATTTTCAAGTTTTAATGTAAATTTATGTTATTTTCACATTACAAAACAAACTTGCATGAAAAATCAAGCATATATGAAGGCTTCTTAGATATCTTTAGCATATTTTGGATACAGAAGTCAAAGAACACAAACCCATAACCTGTTGAACATGATTGTTCATTGGTCTTGATATTGGTCACATTGATATGGCCTAAAAGATGTTTTATTGAATTCTAAGTCAAGTAATATGATAATCATATTCATTAATGAAAACCATTTACTAAACAAGAAATATATGAATTTTTGTTTTGAGTTCAGCTTTAAATTTGGAGGAGTTCATTCAAATTTAAAGGGATTTTAATAAAAAAAAAAAAAAATACAAGAATTAAGCTACCAACAGTATAGAGCCTGGTCAGACTGCGCAGGTTAGCTCCTGCAGGTTTAGTAGTTTTAAAATTTACAATTTATTCTCTATGTATATTTTTACAGATTTTTCTAGAATCTCTAATACTTACAATGTCCCATGTTATGTGTGTAAAAGACTTGCCCATTACTTCATCTCAGTGTATTCTTTTTGTTTGTTTGTTTATTTTGGACCTTAGTTATCTTAAGCTGGTGCTAAGGGGCATGGGAGATGTTGCCCTTTTTTGTGCCTATTTTTCAAATGTCCGATACTTTTATGTATTCGTTTGCATTTCTACAGCTCTATTGAGATCATCTCGGGTTTTCAGATTATTTTGTAGTCCTTACTTAATATCTAGTTACTTTCTTTTTTCATCTCAAAGCTTTGTTTATTAAGCATAATTCAGATTATTAATTTAATAATTCATCATAATTTATAGAGGCTAATTAAATTCAGGCCAGCCTTTAATAACGTTATTATTAAAGAGTAATAACTCCTGCCAAACAAAAACAAAACAACAATGCCCTGTCAGAATTGCCATACTATGTTTAAGACATGCAAAAACAGTTGTTGTTTTTTGTTTCACATTGAATATTATACCATTTAAGGTGACTTATAGAGCTGGGTCTAATGTATTTGATATTTACACATTTCACCATCATAAACAAGTTACTTAGTGACTTACAAAATATCAGTGCAACCTCTTTCAAAGTAAGCCCCATTAGTCAGCTAAAAGTTCTTCCCCTGACTTTTTTTCAGCTAAATTTTAAAGTTTTTTTTTTCCAGCCTTATTAATTTTCTACACTTATGTGAACTTCATAAGTACTAAGGTTGAACAAACTTTATCTCTAATACCTATAATAGTGTAACAAGGTTACATTAAGACAGTGACCAGGGGATCAGTACTTTCTGGTTTACTGACCATGAGGTTTTATCTATGCAATGAAGTACCTGTTGTAAAATGTTCAGATAACCCATACAGATCAACGTTTAAAAAGATAACTTTTTAGGAGACGAATATGAATATTTCAACTATTGCTTTGAGGTCATGTTATAGAGAGGTGAAATTTATTGTGAAAGTAATAATGGTGTTATAAAGATGTTACAGCTTTATTGTAACAGAGCTGCTCTAAAGAGATAGTACCACACATACTGACCAATATTCCACCGAATATGGACAAGTTGCTTTAAAATAGACAGAAATAGAATCCCTACAAAATGTCCAAACCTTACTGTGCTAAATTTTTGTAACTGACATGCTCAAACTTGGATCTAAATTGTAATTTAATATTTAATAGGTGTTTTTTATTTACATAAAAAAAAAATCTTTTTTTTTTTAAAAATACTTTGGTCAGATGACTTTGATATTCTGGCAGGACTTTACAAGTGGCTAAAGCAAGTCATTATCAAGGCTATATATAAGCATTAAAACAGTTTAAAGACAAAATTCAGTATAACAAAAACAAAATTTCTACAACACATATTTTTGCTCAACAATTTATTATAATAGTGCTCTCTAACAGAGATATACAGTAAGTAAACAATTTTCAGGTAGCAATTTTCCATGATAAAGTTTATGATTCATTCTCAATATTTTCCTTATCAGCTGAAATGTTATGATAATATGTTCCAGACACTGTACAATGTTGCAACAATGTTATTTTCGCACAGCTGTTACGCATGCACAAGATGCGCAATTTACCGCTTAGATTGTAAAATATATCATATAATTCAGTGTTTTAGATTTTCAACATTGATCACTCTTCCAAATTGTCACTTATCAGCCTTTCCGCCTTTTTTCATTTCTTTTCCCTCTGATCTTCAATAAAAATGTAACCAGTCATGTCATATCAAGGAAACTGCGCCGGAATTGACAAGTGACATCATTGGACGGTATCGCATTATATGTTGATCACCTTTTTCTAAATCAACAATCTCCTCCCTGAAAAATTAGAAGAAAAAACACATTTGAGCCGCGTCACGACAAAACCAACATAATGGGTTTGCGACCAGCATGGATCCAGACCAGCCTGCGCATCCGCACAGTCTGATCAGGATCCATGCTATTCGCTTACAAACCCTATAACACATAGAGAAACTGATAGGGAGCAGCATGGATCCTGATCAGACTGCGCTGATGCGCAGGCTGGTCTGGATCCATGCTGGTCGCAAACCCATTATGTTGGTTTTGTCATGAGGCGGCTCATTTTGTTGTGTTTTTCTTTGTATGAAAGTAGTCTTTGTTTAAGAAACTGATGAAATTGTCATATACAAGCGAAAATTAATTAAATTTAAATTTATATTCATTAAAAGGATAAGCAGTAAGCACTGATTTTGGCTTATAATTTTTAAAAAATTGCATTAATTTTATAATTCAAAATGACCAACAAATTTTAAACAAGAGCACCGCTAGGCGGAGCATTATATGCCCGAAAGTGTTGTTTTTTTAGTAAGGATGAAGCATTTGTAAGACATGGGAATTAGCTGTTCATCCTATAAAATTTTACAGATGTAGGTTGATTAATACTTAAGTTATTAATTATGACCTTAACCTTTGACCTTGTGACCCTAAAAAATCAATAGGGGTCTCTACCTTATATGGACAATCATCCTAAGGAGTTTGAAAATATTGTGGGCCAAATGGAACTTCAGTTTTGCTCCGGAAACTGTTTTCCAATTTTAAGGTGACCTTTGACCTTTGGACCCCAAAATCAAATAGGGGTCTTCCACCAATATGGACAAATCATGCCAATTAAGTTTGAACATTGTTGGTCAAATGGAACTTGAGTTATGCTTCGGAAACTGTTTTCAGTATCAAGGTAAAAGTGACCTTGACCTTTGCCCTTTTGACCCCAAAATCAATAGGGGTCTTCTACCCAATATGGACAATCATCCTATGAAGTTTGAAAATTGTGGGTCAAATGGAACTTAAGTTATGCTCCGGAAACCAAATTGCTAACCGACATATTGCTAACGGACAGAAACTGTTTTCAGTATCAAGGTAATAGTGACCTTGACCTTTGACCTTTTGACCCCAAAATCAATAGGGGTCTTGTACCCAATATGGACAATCATCCTATGAAGTTTGAAAATTGTGGGTCAAATGGAACTTAAGTTATGCTCCGGAAACTGTTTTTAGTTTTAAGGTAATAGTGACCTTGACCATTTGACCCCAAAATCAATAGGGGTCTTCTACCCAATATGGACAATCATCCTATGAAGTTTAAACATTGTGGGCCAAATGGAACTTAAGTTATGCTCCGGAAACCAAATTGCTAACGGACGGACACTGTTTTCAGTATCAAGGTAATAGTGACCTTGACCTTTTGACCCCAAAATCAATAGGGGTCTTGTACCCAATATGGACAATCATCCAATGAAGTTTGAACATTGTGGGTCAAATGGAACTTAAGTTATGCTCCGGAAACTGTTTTTAGTTTGAAGGTAATAGTGACCTTGACCTTTGACCTTTTGACCCCAAAATCAATAGGGGTCTTCTACCCAATATGGACAATCATCCTATGAAGTTTGAACATTGTGGGTCAAATGGAACTTAAGTTATGCTCCGGAAACTGTTTTCAGTTTTAAGTTAATAGTGACCTTGACCTTTGAACTTTTGACCCCAAAATCAATAGGGGTCTTCTACCCAACATGGACAATCATCCTATGAAGTTTGAACTTTGTGGGCCAAATGGAACTTAAGTTATGCTCCGGAAACCAAATTGCTAACGGACGGAAACTGTTTTCAGTATCAAGGTAATAGGGACCTTGACCTTTGACCTTTTGACCCCAAAATCAATAGGGATTCTACCCAATATGGACAATCATCCTATGAAGTTTGAACATTGTGGGCCAAATGGAACTTAAGTTATGCTCCGGAAACCAAATTGCTAACGGACAAATTGCTAACGGACAGAAACTGTTTTCAGTATCAAGGTAATAGTGACCTTGACCTTTGACCTTTTGACCCCAAAATCAATAGGGATCTTCTACCCAATATGGACAATCATCCTATCAAGTATGAACATTGTGGGTCAAATGGAACTTAAGTTATGCTCCGGAAACCAAATTGCTAACAGACGGACGGACGGACAGACGCCAGGGGGTATAACATAATATGCCCTTTCGGGCATATAAAAATGTTTTAACTTGTATAATTCTTTTAATTTTCTTTGCTGAAAATAATAGATAATGAGATGGATAGAGAATATAAAAAGATAGATTGTTAGAAAATGATGACATCATTATATTATACATAAAGTAGATATACTAATTACAAAGGGAGGCAATATGATATGTGAATGTTATATTTTTTTGTTTACAGTATGTCAAATATTTAAAAGCAAAAATTGCAAGACCTGTGCTAGACTATTCTCAGTGCCTGATAGTAAACAAGAACCTGGATATTTAATAATGTAGAATTTTTTTTAAGTTAAAAAAGGGCCATAATTCTTTAAAAATTCATGTTAGTAACAGGCCTTTACTAGTGACCTCATTTATGATCTCAAATAAGTCTGTAAAGTTAAAACCCATTCCCTTCAATAGTTTTGGAGATACCAACTTGCAAGCAAAGTGTGACAAGGAAAATGATGCCTGAGTGAGTACAATAGCTCTCCCTATTCCTTGAATAGTCGAGCTACAAATATACATTGTAAATGAAATATATAACAATCTATTTCAACCTAGTCATGGCCATATGGGGGTCATATGGTGACTTTCCAGGTTAATTGGCGGATGCTCTTCTGTGAACTAATTGTCAAATATATTTCTTTATTTAATATCGTTTCAATATCTTTCAGTTTTAAGCGCCCCAGTTGATCTACGTATGAAATTCAAACTTTTGGACCTCAGTTGGGACCCTTTAACATTCATTTATAATTAATTTGCATATATCTCAACAAATTAACTGGTGATGAGAATTTGTTTTTCAGTTTCTGATAAGAATATTAAACACCATCATTTATTACTTTTAATTTCACGCTGAAATTGTCACATGAATATTAAGAGGTAATATTTAACCAGATGGGGAAACTAGTTTTAAGATATTTAATTAAATAAATAAAATTACCAAGGTCTGTAATACAAACAAAATAACAAGGGGGGAGGGGGGGGAAAGACATGTTAATAAATGGTTAAAAACTCAGACGAAATAACAACTTGGGGGAAAAAAAGACTTAAAGGTGATGGTGTTTGTTAAGGGAGTTTGGAATTAATAAACAAATAAGCGTTAAAATTCACTGACGGAAACTGCTCTCACTAAGTAAAACGTAGAATACCGAAATAACGTAGAAACTGCTTCAGTTTGTTTTGGTGATGCAACATAGTGAAACGATTAATTTGACTTAAACTCACTTCAATTTCCGTAATATACCTATCTTATCAGTTCATCTGTCCGCCTTTTTTTTTGGGAGGGGGGGAGGTAACATTTCAAGGTCACTAAATGTTGTGCAACACTAAAACACATAACGATAAGTGAATATTGCAAGATCAGCACTTTTTCTTTGTTTAATTAAACTTCATTCACAAAATTTATTGAGTCATGGGTTTAGGGAATGATTTAAAAATATGAATGGATGGCTTGTTTGTTTCGTAAGTTCATATTAAATTTGGCCTTTACTTATCTTGACGGTCATAATCTTTATACCTGTCACTTTAAACCACCTAGTAAATGACAAATAACTAAATCTTATTGAAAATAGGATAATAAATCTGAGACTTAAGACACATTGAAAAAGGTAATATAAAACAGATTGATTACAACAGCGTTTTTGTAATAGGCTATGTCAATGGACTGCACCTCAAGGCAATACAAAAAAAAATTTTGGCAGACGGACAACGAGATCAGGGATCATGGGAATACAATACTAAATGTTGTCTACTTTTTTGTTACTTTAAAAGGTTTTTTTTTTGGTATACTTTTTTATGTACCAAAGTTTTTTATTTTGCTTCCCTACTTGTTTATTTTTCAACAACTATGACAGAAGTCCTTGACAAAACTGAATAATCATTTTTCAAATTTATTTTTTTCTCCATAACAAACATATTACAAACTTGACCTATAGAGTATTACCCATAAACAAGGTCAAGGAAATTTACTGTCAAAAATCTGGATGGAGGAGAATAAAAGCACTGTCACAAAGTACAAGGTGAAAATCCACAATAAAAAACAAGAGGTATATTAGATTAAATGATACAAGAAACAGCTTCAAACAAGTCAATTCTTACAATGTGATGTTTATCAAAAAGACACCTATAGTATAGTACAAAACTATCATTCTTAAAAATTTACTACCCCCCTCAATCCATTCACCTTCTATTGGGTAAAAGTTTTGTTTTTTTAACATATTGCTGCACTTTTCAATAACTTTCCAATTTTAAAAGGTCAATTAATTTCACTCTTGTAATATCTTTAACTTTCCAATTTTAAAAGGTCAATTAATTTCACTCTTGTAATATCTTTTACTTTAAATTATCATTATTTTCTTAATTTGAGGCACAGCAAACAAAAGTGTGGGTTTCAAGGCTAGCATTCTATCTTAACAGCAGCATTCAAACAAGGGTCACAACTTGTAATATCATGAACTGAAAGATCCAAGCATTCAACTGGACCACAATCAACTTCATGTCCAAGCAGGGGACAAAACTTTTTTTATATAGCCAACAAAGGGGCCACAACTTTTTTCATTAGTCAATTACTCAAGTACAACTTTTATCATCATATAAATTATAGATTTAATTCAAAACATGGCCCACAATTTTCATCATGAAGTCAAGATGAATCAAACCAACTGAAACTATCATTTTTATCGATTCAATTATGTGTTCATTGATTCAAGCCAAACAGGGGCCACAACTTTTATCATGTTTTCAATAATTCAAGTCAAACAGCAGTAGTAATGTTTATCATGTAGTTACATGTATATATATTCAAGCCAAACAGGG